ACATGGATGAGATTGATTTCATGTACTCTAGTGGCTCTAGAAGGCAGAAATGAAAGCAGTATGTGGAAGTTTCCTAAAGACAGGTTTTAATTCAGTGTGAGTGAGGCAGCTCTTAGCGTTGTCACTTCCAGGCTGGTGATGCCTGCCGGGCTTGGAGGGCCTTCTGTACCACATCTTCCCACTGAGCATCTGAGATCTCCCGTGCCCAGGCAGGAACCCCTGGTGCAGGCAGGCTTATTCCAGCCATTGTCCTTTTCACCAGCTCAACGTGTTCTGGGTCCATGGGAATAGAGCTGTGGCTGCTCAATGCTGTAGCTTCCTCCTCTTCTTCATCTTCACTTTCTAATGGAGGGTCTGGCAAATGCAGCCCCAGGGCCTGGATCCGTTCCTGGATGTCAGCAACTACATCTTCTCCATCCCCGACAGGTGCCAATTCCACTTCCTCTTGTTCAGGATCTTGGTTCAGGGGCTGGTAAGAGTAACCAGTTGGGCCTGCCCCGGCTTCCTCCTGCTCTTCCTCCTGCTCCTCACTGCTCCAATCCTTAGTGCCTTCTGTGGGGCCCACATGCGGCCCCAGTTCCTCAGTCTGATTGGGGAAGATACGCTCTGGGCCCATGGTGTCTCCCCCTAGAACTACTGCTGCCATCCGGGGCAGGCGCCGCTCAGAGTGGGGAAGAACTATGTAGTAGAGTTGTCCTTCACTGGAGATTTCCTATAAAGTTAACCTAGATGGGTCACTAAGGTTCCTTCTAACTCTGTAGCTGAGATTCACTTGCCATGTAAAATAAACTCAACTTCCATGAAAACCCATTGGCATTAGGTTGACTCTCATTTATGATGACCCCATGTATTACAGTAGAACTCTTTCGTAGGGTTTTCTTAGCAAATGCAGTTAAATGTGTCTAAAACGGGATGCTCATCAAGTCTCCATCTTCATGCAGATCTGGAAAGCAAAGCACTTAGGCTGGCTGTACAAGGGCTGGAGGGGGTGGCCTGTGTGGTCAGATGTGCTCCTCAGCTTTTATTCTTCCTTGCTAATGTGTGCTTTGAGGCATTGGCGGTTCAGTGGTAGAATTCTCATCTTCTACATGAGCAGAACCAGGTTCAACTCCTGGTCAATGCACCAAATGCACATCCACTATCCATCTGCCACTGGAGGCTTAGTGTTGTGATGATGCTGAACAGGTTTCAGTGGAGCCTCCAGACTAAGGTGCCTTGGAAGAAAGGCTTGATGATCTACTTTTGAAAATCAGCCAATGAAGACCCTCTCGATCCAAGAGTTCAGTCAGCAACTGATCATGGGGATGGTGCAGGATTGGGTAGCACTTTATTGAGCTGTGCATGGGGTCACCATGAGTCAGTAACTTACCTGATAGTAGCTAACCATGTTTGTTTGAATGTCTTTTGTGTTCCTAGATTTTGAAAGCCTTTATGTGAGTTCCTCCTCCCAAGTAACAAAAATAAATATATACCAAGCTCTCAACAAAAACAAGGGAACTCTGGTGGCATAATCCCTAAGACATTTGACTGCTAACCAGAAGGCTGGCAGCTTGAACCCACCAACCACTCCTTGGAAGGAAGGTTGGGCAATCTACTTCCATAGTGATACTCCCTCGGAAACCAAAGGAGGGATCGGGAAATTGTATAGGAAGCATGTAAAAGTACTGAGACTAAACCATTACCTGGGGCTTCTTCTGTCCTGTCCTAGCAGTAAATGAATCCATTATACTTTCAAAGGTTAGGCTTGAACCTTTAAGTTGGATGGAACACATGGACTATTTGAATGAATTCATATTTAAAGTACATACTAATTGTTCTGAGGCAATTGTACTGATTTGCTTCTTGTTTTCTTTATTTTGTGCTTTTAGCACTTATCCTGAATGGAAATCCAAATTTTAGGTAGAAAATTATTTTTATGGTAAGATGCAACACTAAATGTTTTAGCTAAACAGTTCTGTAGCATTAAGTACACCTAAGAGCTGTGTATTGGTAAAAAACCTGCTCACCACCCTTTATCTGTATCACTTTTCATACTACTTCACTTCTTGGTCTGCTCCCTTAGTTTTTTCCATCTATAATCAGTGACTAAGAAGCTCTGCTGGCATAGTGATTCAGGCATTCAGCTACGGACCAAAATGTCAGCAGTTCAAATCTACCAATCTCTCAACTGGAGAAAGTAAGGCAGTCTGCTTCCATAAAAATTTATAGCCTTGGAAGCCCAATGAGTCTTCTATTCTGTCCTGTAGGGTTGCTATGAGTGGAAATCAACCATTGGCAGTGGGTTTAGTTTTGGGCTTTAATCAGAGACAAAAATAGCACCACCTCTTAGGGTTGTTGTGAGGATGAAACAAGTTAATACGCATAAAGAACTTAGAACAATACTAGGTGCATATGTAACTAATATTGGTGTTATTATCTGTTTAAATTTTATTCATTTGAACAATCCAAAGCCACCATTCTCTAAATGTTTTAAATAATTATTTTCAGTATGCAAACATTTATTGAATGTCTATTATATCCTGGAGAAGGCCATCATGCTTAATAGAGGGTCAGTGAAAAGGAGCAGGAACCTTAATGAGATGGAGTGACACTTTGAGCTCCCAACACAGCAATGATTTTGAGGATGGCACAGGACCAGGCAGTGTTGTGTTCTGTTGTACACAGGGTCACTACGAGTCAGAACCGACTCAACTGCACCAAACAATAACATTGTGTGCATAGCCCTTATAACCTTTTCTATAAACTGAAAAATAATTCGAGTTTTAATCCATATTATAAACTCAGGGGGTGGGGCTGGCTATTAGTTCAGTGTGAAAGAACACACGAGAAACTAAAGATCAGTACTGCTGTTGCACTGGTGAGATGAGAGTGCTCTCCGTACATCATAACTACAAGCACGTGCCAAATAAGGCTTTATGTGCCTTATTCATTTTAGTCCTTATCAACCTTGGGAAGTAGCTAGTAGTTCTTCTGTTCTCATTTTAGTCCTTAACAACCATGGGAAGCAGCTAGTAGTTCTTCTGTTTTACAGATTAAGAGTTCCCTCAAGGTTGCCCAGCCAATAAGGGGCAGAGTCTCAACTTAAGATCTATCTGATTTGAAAGCCCATGGTTGTAACATCATTCATGCCATTTTCCCATGACCTCGAGAAACAAAAGCTCTTACAAGTACTTTGAAATATTAAAAAATCTAACAAAGTTTGACTTTATTCATCTCAAGATCTCTAGAATGTTTTGACACTGGGGCCTAAATAGGTTGAGTGATTTTCCTAAGGCCACTCAACTAACAAGGGTCAGACTTTTAGTTAGAACACTTACATGCCTTCTACCAGCATAAGAAATTTCTGCAAAGATTCCAAGATTCTAAGATGCCTCTCTTCATAAAAGTGTGGCTTGGAAAACATAAAAGCATGACACACAAAAGATAAAAGATAAACAATCCCAACCAAAAAGACCAAACTATATGCACTTGTTTTGAGAACCTTGGTAAAACAGCAAAATGGTATATACAATCTGATTTCCTTCTGTATGTGTTTCCTAGGTCTGCTGTAACAAATTGTGGCTTAAACAATAGAAATTTACTGTCTGACAGTTCTGGCAGCTGGAAGTCTGAAATGACTGTCAGCAGGGCCATACTCTCTCTGAAGGCTCTAGAGGAGAATCCTCCTTTGCCTCTTCTAGCTTCTAGTGGTTGCCAGAAATACTAGGCATTCCTTGGCTTGTGGCAGCATAACTCCAATCTCTGCTTCTGTCTCCATATGATCATCTCCCTTGTTTGTGTCTCCAGGGATCAAATTCCCTTCCTCTTACAAGGTCACCAGTCATTGGACAAGGGCCCATTCTAATCTGGTATGGTCTCTTCTTGCTTGATGACATCTTCAAAGACTTTATATCCAAAGAAGATCACACTAACAGGTTCTAGGTTGTCTTTGTTACCTAATGCTGCTGTAACAAAAATAGCACAAGTGAGTGGCTTTAAAGAATAGGAATTTATTGCCTCACAGCTTGGGAGGCTAGAAGTAGAAATCAGGGCATCAGCTCCAGGGAGGGAACTTAATTGAATAGTCAATTAAAGTTAATTGATAATTAAGTTGGTAGTTTTAGGAGTTCCTTGGTGTTGACATCTGCCTTCCCCTAATGTATGTGTGACTATGTTTATTCCGCTCTTTTTTATAAAACACCACTCAGAAGGAATTAGGTTCAATACCTACCACCTAGCTTACTCTGGTATGGTCTCATTAACAAAAGAAAACCTCTATTTCCAAATAGGGCCATATTTACAGGTTTATATTGCAAACGTATCTTTTTGGGAGCCATAATTCAATCTAGCACATGGGTAGACATAAATTTTAGGGTCACATTCTTCAATCAAGTACACCTGAAGATTCCCGAAAGGTTGCCAAAATGAATTCTTTGTAATGGTGTCTTTTTTCCTCCCATCTCACTAGATCTCAGTCTGTGGTAGAAGCTGGGACCCTGAAACATGAGGAGAAGGGAGAGAGCGAGAATACCCAGCCGCTCCTGGCTCTTGACTGAACCTGAGTCACCTAGACACTCTGCATATTGCCAGCCTTCAGTGGTTCCAGCCTCCCAGGAAGCACACGCTCAACTGACCCTCAAAGACACGTGCATCTGGCTTGACCCACGTCCTCCACTCTGCCATCCAGTAATGAACGTCACCAGCCATTGGTCTGAGCAGCCAAAGTTGAGCAAAGACTTGAGAGATTTTTTTTAGTATGGGGATTTGATGATGAAGCAAGGCATTCATGTAAACAAAAGTCCCCTCCTTCCTTATGTATGGTATTAAATGAATTGAAAAAGAAAAATTAAATTTGATAAACAATCTGCAATAGGACAAATATTTTTTCCGAGGCATTGCACAGGGACCCTCTCCAGACTTTGCAGATTATGTGCATTTTCAAGTAATACGTTTGAGTTAAACTGTGCAGACACAATTGCCAAGTGTAAGGTAGTGCAAAGCCCAGAGACCATAGCATCTTCAGTAATTTCCATTCTTACTGAATTTTTTTTCTTTGACCTCATCACCAGCATCAAATTGCCCAGCCTAAGTGCATGGCTCATAGTTCTCATAGCTCTGACTATTTGCAGAGTTTAAATCCTTAAACAATGATTTTGACATCATATCATTTACTGGACCATCAGCTGACTATAATTAGCTGACTCTTAAAAGAAGACGCACACACTTTGAAATAAGATTATTTCGTCTTAACAATGTGATTTCCCACAGGCAGCCCCAGAACCCATTAGTCCAGGGTGTGTCTGCAGAGAGGAGAATCTCATTGAAAACATGGCAGTGATGAATGGATCCAAACAAATTGTATCGCTTGGTTCATGACAGCAAAGGAAAGAGCTTTGGTAAAACCATTTAACCCCCAACCCTCTTGCAACCAGTTAAATGTGTGGAGAAAGGGCCTGGCTGTTGCTGAGAGGGTAGATACTCCGTCATGGAGGAAGACTCTTGCTTTTGAAAGAATGAATACATACGCAAGTACTGAAAATAAGAGAAGACTAGGAGTGTAGGATGAAATGCCAAAGATCATTTTATTTCTTTATCTATTCTCCTTAGAAATGGAGTCCCCAACTACCCATTCAAAGGGAATTAGATATAAAATAAACTGATTATCATAGGATATGATATCCTTACTTGTGCCATGTTTCCCAAAACCAGTTGTATATTTTTGCATATCTCATATTCTCCCAGCCATCTGCATGACATGGACATTCATTAGTATGACAAGTTGGTGCTCAATGTCAAACAAAAACATTTTACTTGATAATGGAGAGTAAAATATGGTTTTGAAAATTTCAGCATTTGGGAGGGTTAAGCTGTTAGCAGAACAATTCAAAGAATAGAGGTGTTTCAACTGGTCATAGTCACCCCCAAAAAGCAGAACAAGTATTATTACTGATCTTAGGCATTTATTTAATCTCTTTCTCTCAATGGGTCTAATGTTTTAATTTTTTTTTACTGCTACATAATTACAGAATTAATTTTATATTGCAATAGGCAATACAACTTTGAAGAAATATAACTGACGTAGTATTAAAAACACTTCTTGACCAATTGCATCACAGTATAAATAAATCGAATTTATCTGTGTAGATATTTCAAATCACAAAATAATACTGAAGTGATTTTACCAATTCAATGACTAAAATACTTTTCTTACATACCATGAGTTAGGGAAGAAAGATGAAAAATTAAAGTGAATTAGAAAATCCATTATATTACTTGGGTTTATAAAATAGTTGTGGGATCCAACTATTTAAAATATTACTGGAATCAATTACTGCCAGCACTTTGCAACAGTGATAATTCTAGCTTTCCAACTGGCAATATTTAGAATCCTACTGTAGTGACCCAATTTTAAATACCATACTCTATTTACTAAATTAATAAGAGTTAGTTTTTGCTCTATTTCATAATTTCTATAAATGAATGTAAGATGATGGCTCAACAATGAAAATTTATGATTTGAATTTCCTTTCTGTGTATGTAATATACATACAAGAACCAAATTCCGTAAGTGACACGAATGTTACAACATGAGCAATGAATTGTGTTGCCTTTGTCCAGTCATCTCCTCTGTTCAATAAATACACAAGGACACGAATCCCTTTTTATTTTTTCAAGAGTTTGCTTTTTTTGTTTTTCCTGGATTTTGGTGATTCACTTTATATTTTTCTTCCCATGCCTCTTCATCTATTTCAGTGGGATTTTTGTTTGAACACTGGCAAAACAGAAGGGAACAGGATAAATATTCAAATATTTTTGCAAACTCTTCTACTAGAAGCCAGCATCCTTAAGATCAAGCAAAAAGGGTCAATTTCAATCTTAAAAAAAAAAAAAAAATTAAATGAGAGCAAGAAAGCCTTCTCCTTTGTCCTTGAATGGAAAAGAAAGCACAAACGTGATCACTACCTGTGAATGCAATTTGGTAGTCTGTGTGTCATTTCTTCAGTTTTGTTCAGATGGGCTTAAAATTCAGTGCATGAATATCTTTACCTTCTCATACCTAACATTTCTAGTTAGCTTCCATTTGAAAGAATACAAAATCTAATGCATTCATACTTTACTAAATTAATGACTTGATCATATTTGGAATGAGTAGACAAGACCATTTTTCAACTGTTATTTCTATGTTGTGGGTAATATTAAAACTAAACTATGGATAATAATTGTTATTTCAAAGTGTCACTTAATGTTTAAATGGCAGAAGTCTCAAGCCAGGGACATGGAACAGTCTTTCAAACTCTTCCAAAGAGGAAAGCAATTTCTCCATCCTACACCCAGGACAGAGATCCTAGCACTCTTCTTGTTTCCCTTCCATTCTACCATCTTTAATACTACAGATTTTGACAGGAATCCCCTGAAGAACCAAAGGGACATTTTTTTTTTGTCACCCACATGCATCTACAGTAGGCAGTGACACTTTGGATTCAGGGTATGATAGATGGCAAAGAGGTTGGCAACCAGCTACCCTAGCAACACCCCCTATCTTCCTGATCCACAGAGGAAATTTTACTTTTTCTTCCCTAGTCCTAAAGTTGGCATTAAAAAAAAAAAAAAAAATCACACGTGGCATTTTTATAGCTTAATACAAAATGATTCCATGTCCTTTTTCCATGTAAAAATTCCTCCTAGAGCTTTTGACACTGTATCTGCCATTAGCACAGTGAGGAGAGAAATTAATTAAGATACTCACTCTCAATGAAGACAATAAAGCAAAACAGAGTCAATGGGCAGGGATCAGTAAAGTTCATAGACATTGTAAAATGACATCTTTATCCTTCATATTAGGAAATTAAAAATGCTTCTTTCACATAAGTGTCTTTTTTTTACTAAAAGGAAATAAAAGAAGAAAGTCTACATTCAACAGGGAAGCTACCATCAGACAGCTAGAATTAAAGCTTGTCCACAGCTTGCTGTTAAAATCAACAGTAGAAAAGTAGTGGTACATGATGACAAAATAGTCTAGCTACCCTACAAAAATATTGCATAGAAAAATGACAAACTATAGCTCTTCATTCACAGTTTCTACATATATATTCTTATTATATACCCATTTAGACCTCTTTTTTAAGTGAAAACAAGTATCTTTGGCTGGCAAGGTGGGCACTATCATGTATTCACCTTAAATACAAGCATCACACCAGTACTGTCAGGGGATGACAATTCTGTATGAATTGGAGCTAGGCAATGATTCCCTTTAGTGTCTTCTAACCCTAGGCAGAGACTTAGTATTTTTCAGGCTGCAAGTGAATTTAGAGCCTTGATGTTTGGACTTCTCTCCTTTTACCCAAGGTGACAGAACCAGAAAGGCAGCTCTGTCCAGTGAGTCCTGGGTCTGCAAGACAAGCTAAATTGCAGGAAGGCTGCGCCTCTGCTGGGGTGTCAGCTCTGGGTGCCACACATCCACGATGAAGATCAGCCGGAAAGACGAGGCATCCTGCCATACCTCGTGCTCAAAGGAATCATCAAAGATGAGCACCTTGCCTTCTTCCCATGTCCTGGAACAGAAAACATGAACTCTTGAGCACAGCCTTAGATGGTTCAGACAAGAAAACCCAAAAAACAAAACCAAAAAACCCTATTGCTGTAGAGTCAATCTTGACACATGGCAACCCCACGTGTTACAGAATAGAATTGTTCCATAGGTTTTTCTGGGTTCTTAACTTTTCAGAAGCAGATTGTCAGGCCTTCCTTCCAAGGTGGTGCTGGGTGGATTTGAACCTCCAACCTTTAGGTTAGTAGTCCAGTGCAAACTACTTATGCCACACGGGGACCTCAGATGTATGAGGTTAATTCATGTCTAGGTGCAGGAAAACCAAACCCCTGCCACTGAGTTGATTCCAACTCAGAGTGACCCTTTGGTCATGATATCAGAAGGGACCGGTCCCTGGAGAAGGATATCACACTTGATAAAAAGAGGATCAGAGAAAAAGGCGACGAGATCCTTAATGAGATGGGTTGACATAGTGACTGCAACAACGGGCTTAAGCACGGCAATGATTATGAGGATGGTGCAGGACTAGGCAGTGTTTGGTTCTGTTGTACGTAAGGTCACTGTGAATTGGAACTGACTTGGGCACCTAACAACACGTACAGGAAGTCACTTTTATGGTACTCTTTGGAATATAAACAAATAATTGGAACATTAGCCAGACTTTATTCTTTTCTTGATGATTAACAAAGTAATTTCAGAATTCTCACAATGAACATGAATTGTCACTGTTCAACACTAATGTTGTACAAAAGACAAGGGATCTGCGATGTGGGTAACTGATACTGTTATATGTTTTGCCTTAGAAAACTATTTCTGTCTCATGCTCATTACTAGAGAATTAATCAATATTAAATTAGGTAATGTACCATATTGCAAAGTTTCTCAAATTGAGGACTAATTGACATTTAGGGTCAGATAATTCTTTGTTGCAGGAGTTGTCCTGTGCACTGTGAGATGTTTACCAGGATACCTTTCCTCTACCCAGCAGATACCAGCAGCACCTCTCCCAGTCTTCACAGGCAAAATTATATACCAAAAAAACAAAAACAAAAACCCAAACCTGTTGCTGTCAAGTCAATTCTGACAGAACTGTGTCACTGGGTTTCCTAGGCTGTAATCTTTACAGAAGCTAACTGCCACATCTTCACACAGAGTGGCTAGTGGGTTCAAACTGCAGATCTTTCAGTTAGCTGAAAGGTTAGTGAGCACTTTAACCACCATATCACCAGGGCTCCTAAATTTCCCTACAATCATTGCCAAATGTTCTTTTTTGGAAATAGGAGAAAATATGGTTCCAGTTGAGAATTACTGACAGATGAAATGAATTTGATGATAAAATTTCCTAATTATATACAAAAATATACAGACCCAGGAGCACATGATTGATTTGGTCAAACATGTATTCATTAGTACGCAAAAAGAAACAAAACGAAAGGTAAAACTAAAAAGAAAAAAAAAAATGACAAGTAAAAGAAGGAAAATGAGCTATAGCTTATATAGTTGTTTGCTGCCATAGAGTTGGCCCCTGACTCACTGCAATTCCATGCACAAGGGAATAAAACACTGCCTGGTCTTGTGCGATCCCAGTGATTGGTTGTGGATTGGACCACTGTGACCCATAGGGTTTTCATTGGTGAATTTTTGGAAGTAGATCTCCAGGTCTTTCTTCCTAGTCCATATTAGTCTGGAAGCTCCACTGAAACCTGTTCAGCACCAGAGCAACACACAAGCCTCCACTGACAGACAGGTGGCGGCTGTGCTCGTGGTGCACTGGCCAGCAATCAAACCCAGGTCTCCTGCATGGGAGCGAATTCTGCCACTGAACCAACACTGCCTCTCTATGCAGAATTAGATAATCATTTTCTGGGTTCAATTTGTTGGTGAAACCAAGCAACATCAGTGGGTACCACTGACAAGTGTACAGTACAGGCAGAAAAGAAGAGGGAAAAGAATGCATGAAAAAGGGTAGCCATTTATAATAAAAGAGAAGAGGGAGAGGAGTGGCATATCCTGATGGAAAGGTTATGGTTTTTTAAGGGAGGCCTATTTAAACCTCTTGACTCTGGCATTATTTCTTATGTGACGTTGAGAGAGTTACTTTATAGTTGTGCCTTTGTTTCTTTATCTGCAAAGTTGATGTGAGGATGAACATAGTAATTGACACATAGCAGACAATCAAATAATGGTAGAGATTATAATACAGAGTAAGAAAAATATAGAAAAAATAAAGAGAAGACAAAAGATCAAGGTGATAAAATTAGGAAGTGGTATGAGTTTACTGAACATTACATTGGCGATGTTCCCTAAGGAGTTGCATTATTGAAGAACACTGAAAACTTTCAAGGGAGTGAGATGTCATCATTTTTAGAGAACTGGTGGAGCAACAATGTTGTTGTTGTTGTTGCTATGTGCTGTTGAGTCAGACCCGACTCATGGCAACTCCTCCCTGGTTTCCAAGGTGCTATCACTATGGAAGTAGATTGCCCAACCTTCCTTCCGAGGAGTGGCAAAAATAGTGATTCTTAAATCACTTTAAAACATGATTTTTTTTTAAGGTGGTAGAGAATCTGGAAGTTATCTAAAATACTGGACGTATTTAAGAAAACGAAGTAGAAAATTCTAAAACCCACTGCCATCAAATTCATTCTGACTCACAGTGACCCTTTAGGGTAGAAGTGCCCTACAGGGTTTCCAAGGCTGGATATCTTTATGGAAGCAGACTCTCTCATCTTTCTCCGAACCGTCAACTTCTGGTTAGCAGTAGAATGCTTTATGCACTACTACACCAGTGCTCCATTTAGAAAACTCTAGGTTGCACAAAATGATAGGTCACCGAATTCTGACATCTTTCACTAGATAGGGGTAGGAAAGCCAAAAATTTCAGAAGGCGTTGTAGGAGAAAAACTTAAAACTCAGTATTTCACTCATTAACTTAAATTCCCTGTGAATCAATAAAGCTTTTAGCACTAGGATCCAATGTTGCCCTCATGGAACACTAGTTCTTGTAAGAGTGGAATTTGAGAATCAGTGGTTTGTGGCTTTGCAGATATATTAAGTCAAATTTCAACAAGTTGTAAATCATTTACTAACCAATTTTTTAACATAAAAGTCTGAGAGGTATTCCAAAGTGTTGTTAAGAGACTTTTCTTAAAGGTCATACACTACATGAAGAGACATGTCCTATTTGATTCCTATTTGCTCTTTCTTTTTCTTTGTTACATTTTCTCACAAAATAGCAATGATACTCAATTATCACTTACTTCTTAAATGTAGGTTGCTTCTAAATACTTAAAAATAAGTGATGTCTTTCATTTAGTTATAAGAGCTACAATGGTTGAAAAGTGCAGCCTTAATGAGTCAAAGAGTAAAAGGGTGAAAGGGAAGGACACTAAAACATCATCTCAGCCACGTCCTGTTGGGGAGGATAACAACAGAAGGAGACAGAAACATGAGGTGTTAAAAGTCTTTACACTCCTTCTGGTCTAAAACCAAAAAATGCAAAGAAATAGTTTTCAGGTCACTTGATTTGTGAATAAAGCTCTATCAAATATGATTAAATTAAGCTCAAATTATGATATGGAAAGTGCCCTTGGAACAAAGCTTTTCAGAGGCACCTTCAAGGGTAGTCTTTCTGAAGGTCCTCCACAACACTCTCTAGGGGTTCATGAGGGCTGTGGCCCCATCCCATTTAGAATTTCATCTTACCCTTACAGAGAAAAAGGACTGTCCCTCATTTGACAAAACATGTAAGAATAGCTGACCACAAGATAAAGCAATATTACATAATCCTTCAGTTTACCCAGTTATTATAATTAATGATAATGATATAATGATAGCAGCATATATGCAAAAACTATAACACTGTCATAGAATTACCATCAATTTTAATAAAAATAAGTACAGGCAGACCTTGTTTTATTGTGTTTTGCAGATACTGTGTTTTAAAAACAGAATCTGTGGCAACCTGGTATCGAGCAAGTCTACTGGTGCTAATTTTCTAACACCTTGTGCTCACCTCATGTCTCTGTGTCATATTTTGGGAATTTTCATAATGTTTGAAATTTTCCATAATGCTGTTGTATACTTAGTAGACTATAATATATTGTAAAAATAGCTTTTATATGTACTGGAAAACAAAATTCATGTGACTCACTTATGAAGATATTTGCTTTACTGTGGTAGTATGGAACTCAATCACAATATCTCCGAGGTATTGCTGTAATGCTTACAGAGTGTCTCAGGCAGAGTTCTCTGAAGGAGTAAAATCAGTGGAGTACACACACACACACACACACACACACATTTATATGGAGCTCTGGTAGTGCAGTGCCTAAGCTATTTGACTGCCAATCAGAAAGTTGGTGGTTCAAACCCACCAGCAGCTCCACAGAAGGAAGATGGAGCAATCTATTTCTGAAAACATTTACTGTCTTGTAAACCCAATGGGGGTTGCTATGAGTTGGAATTGACTCAATGGCAGTGGGTTTGGTTATGAAACCCACCAGCAGCTCCACAGAAGGAAGATGGAGCAATCTATTTCTGAAAACATTTACTGTCTTGTAAACCCAATGGGGGTTGCTATGAGTTGGAATTGACTCAATGGCAGTGGGTTTGGTTATGAATAAATAAAAAGAGAGAGAGAGAGAGAGAGAGAGATATTTCAAGGAAACGGTTCAAATAGTTGTGGAGGCTGGCAAGTCCCAAATCTGTGGGTTAGGCATCAGGCTGGAGGCTTCTCCTGACTCATGCAGTTATGTGGGCTGACCTAAAATCAGCAGGTCAGACAGCAGACTGCTGGATCACATACTAAGAACCAGAGATCACAGGATGACAAGTCAGATGTAGGACATAAAGAGAGGGAGCTTTGTCAGAACATCTATATATATACTGGATGTAGACCACACCCACAAGGGAACTGACTGGCTTTCAACTGAATGGTTTTTCAACCAACTGGCTGCTCACATCAGATCATAAAATGGAGGATGATTACGTTATATTACACTA